TTTTTGACACTTTTAATCAATGGATTTGATTGTTCTCTGATTTGTGTTAATCGCATTTCCTAACTAAACCATGAGGAATCCAGGATTATGAATATTTTTTTCAATTATCTATGGTCAAAAATCAACCAAGTACCAGTACTCCCAGCCCTGGGAAAAATTATTGCATTAGAGGGTTAACACACTGTTCAAAATCTTTTTCGAAATATATTACGAAATAATTTTCCGCAACCATTCGTATACAAACAATTATATCAGAGGGAAAGTTTATTGAAAAGCGGCACATTTCTCTAAAATACACCGAACATACACGAAAATAGGAGTTTAAAAAAATTCATTGAAACAACGCTGCATTGAAATTTCGAAGCGTACATAAATATGCTACGTACTTTCGTAGCCCTGCATTATTAAATAAACTTTCAAGGTTTCATTTTGCCAATAAAAAGGAAAAACTGTAGATGAACAGATTTTAAGTGTTGTCATCAAAATGAAAACGAAACAACTGTCATTCGCACCATGTAATATGTTACTTGGACAATAAGTTAAGAGTACGGAATCATTTTCCGTGCAAGCATGTGTTTCTAAGAATACAGAATACTAATAGTACGCTAATTTCTATTATCTGCAGTTACTATTTCGCGAAGTGTTTTTATGAAAATGTTTTCACGTTCTTATTGGTATACACTGTTGGAAATAGTAGTGAAGTTGTCTCGAAAAATATATTAAAATATGGCATCCACGGTTTTCTGTGAAAATGTGCGAATTTGACAGAAATTGTGTAATCAATACAATCGTAAATGTACACGATTTCAATCACATTTTACTGAACAACTATGAATTTCTCATTTTACCAGAGGGTTTACTTATTTCTGAGAGTGTAATATATTATCGTTGTTTTTTTTTATAAAATACATATAATTTTAACCCTCGTTCATGCACCCGGGTCTGGCCAGACTTTTTCTGTTTTTGATAGTTATTTTAACATAATTCTAGTTTAGCTAGCGACTTGAGTTTTAAGTTACCTGCCTAAAATTTCATTGGCTATCGATCTAGCAAAATTAACATTACAAAAAAGTCCTTAAAAAGGATGATATAATGATATTCAAAAACTACACCTTAAAACTAAGGTTTTAAAATAGGCGCATGAGCGGGAGTTAAGAACATTCTCAATTATTTAGTTCGAGCTCCTATCCAAAAATGCGAAAGAACTTTTCCCAATTTTTGAATTGGCGCTCGAGCCAAATGTCAAAAAGTTGAAAATATTGTCGTTTTTGAGCAGATCGCAATTTTTCAAAATTCCATTGAAAAACAGCGAACTTTCTTGGGATTCTATCAAATTTTATGCAGAAAGTTGACACCACTGCATCAAAATAAATGCCGCATGAGGGCACTCATCCCAATATTTAAATAAAATATGTTTAAAAAATTTGAAACATTCTTTTTTAAAATAAATAAAACTACTTTAATTCATATTTTTTCGCGCTCAAACCCATTCGACACGTTTATATTTGCATTAATCACATATCGGTTGCTAAAGTAACCAGATACGCCAAACGCTATAACTACAAAATCACTGAAAATTTTTGCATACTGGTTTGGAAACAAATGTAGGGAATTAAATCAGCTTTCATTTGATACCTTACTCATAGCAATTTGTCCACTAATATCGAAAGTTTTTTAAGTTTATGTACTGCTGTAAAAAAATGCGAAATTATAGCAGAATTCCAAATTTTTCATCCTCTCATCTTGTGGGTTTGTACATTCTTTTCAATTGTCATATTATGACTCATAGGAGCAAAACACATCAATTTAATTTTCTGCATCATTAGTTCTATGAAATTTAATTTTTTCAGGCTTTTATAGCGATATGACACTTTTGACTCTTTTCCGATTTTCTCGGTAAATATGAAATTTTTCAAAAATCTAAGTATGGGGTTTTTCTCTATCGTATCGGCACATAACATATATCGGAATCATTCAAAAATAAAAAATTGGGCATCAAAGGGTTAATGTTAAAATAATAAAAAGTAATAAAAAATGAAAAAAAAATTAACCTTCTGACTGTGTTTGGGTAAATAGAACATGGACTGTGTTTAGTGAGATTTTTGTCACTTACGTATATAAAAGAAAAATAACATTTTTTCAATATTTTGCTTTGAATTTATATGATATTCGATTGAATACAATATTATCTTCATTATTTATGCATTTATTTATATCAAATAACGCTGCAATCTATTCTTTGAACCATCCGAAAGTTCGATGTGTAGTGGCTGCGTTTGACATTCAACTGAATTCTGATTTTGTGATTTTTCTACTCGCCACAAATCTACAAATATGGAAATTTTCGTTAAATTTTTTGAATTTAGCTGTCAGCAGAAACTTTTTCAACAATTTAGAAAATAAACATAGATAAAACTTTAAAGTTTTCAATTTTTTCAAACGTTTTTCAAATGGGCAATGCGAGTTAATGTCGCATCCCAAGTAACGAAACATGTGTTCTGATCGGTTCGCATGTGGTACTTGGGTTTCAATGTCAAAATGTCCAAAAAAGGACGCATGTGTGTTTCGATTCCATGCAAAGTAGAGTGAAACTGGATACTGGAGATTTTGCATTGACATTTCCGACTGTAAACATGACAACAATTCATATGCGTGTGCTGTCAAAGTAACTTTGTCATGCGTCATTCACATTAATGCTTTGACTGATTGTGGTGAACAATGGTGAGATTGGAAACGTCATACATTTTATATACATTATTTGTTTGGGAATTATATTCATTTATTTTCTTTTATTGTTGATATTCGGGCTCTGCAAAGCCTAGGCTTCATCCACGATTTGTTTTCCAAAGAAATATTTCGAAAAAATCGTGAGTTTGCACTGTCAACACTTGTGTGATTTTCCATATGATTTTGAAGTCATCGAATATTGCCACCCGTTCACACATTCAATGAACTTGCTACACCAAGTGATAGTTTAGTTCATTGCTGACGTTTTCCAATCCGCCATACGTTTTTATATGTGTGTGTACATCAAAATATCAAAGTTGTCAAGAATGCAACCGTTCTCCTCGTTCTTTCATTTTATATATAAGATTATAATTCAAAAGATAAACTCAAAAGATTTGCTATACATTTTTATTCATTTCATTGTTGTCTGTTGAAAACATTGCAAAGAATTCCCGTCAATCGAATCACTGGAAAAGACGGCAATTGAACATCTTGTGAGTCGTATCAATTGAATTGATGAAAAAAGGAAACGATTAGGGAATGTCATAATTTCATCTTATAATTTGACTTTGACTCCAGCCGATCCTTTTGTTCCTAGGCCAGTAATCTTGTACAAATGGCCAGCTTCATCTTGTGTGTCACCACGAGTTGCGGTTGTTGCGTAGAGTATATCCAAGTTTGGCCCACCAAAAGCAACTGATGTTATTTTGCTTACATTGGGAAATACATATTCTGCCAACACTTCGCTGGTTCTGCAAACGAGACATAGAAAATCACATCAAATATTCAACGCAATAAATGAGTTAATGAACGAACACTTCTCTCTTTTATAAAAATAACCACTTTTGGTCCGAAAATTCTAGTTTCTTCGTCTTACTTTGGATTTAATTTAAAAACTTTGTGTCCATTATAGGTGGCAATGTAGAGGTTTCCTTCAACATCGCTAGTCATGCCATCAAGGACAAAGTCTGGTGTTTTTCCATCTACTCTGTTCAAAAACATGGTGCGCTCATTTGCTGCTCGTTAAACAATAAGACATTTAAATTGCGATAAGTGATTATCCAAATATGTAATAAATCAGGCTTTGTTATGCGCTAAATCTATCACGCTGAATAAATTCATGTA